AGTGTGTTGGCTACTGTTAACTTTACCAACAAAATGTTTAGGTAATCCTATGGATCAGCTAAGTTGTGCAGCAAGCAGCTCCTTTACCAGTTCCAGTGGAGAAACTGAAGTGGACTCCGATGACACCATTATATTGCAACACAGTCCTGCAACAAGACAGAGAACTGAAGACACCTCTCTTGCCCAAGTAATTAAGCTATGCAGATAACTGTGCAGACTTCCATAGAGTTTTTACAAATTTGAATACAATATATATATATATATATATTTATTTGTGCTTTTTAACATAACTTACTATTCTACTAATAACTATTATAGCTCTTCTGATACTGTCTCTTTTTTATGAAATATAATAGGATTTGTAATTGTCTTGTGTACGGTGTTTTTGTGATGTATCGATTTATATTTTGTTTATATTTTTACCATCACTTAAGATGATTGAAAATGTTCTAAAGAACAAACCAGGAGGAGACAGGATCATCAATGAGTATGCGCGGACAAAAAGCCTAACAGACGGCAGACGGCGTGACATGGTCAAGATATTGGTTGCGCATATGACAAGTGAACATGGGTATGCTGAAATTATTTATTTTTTGTATGCACCTCTCACAATTACCTGTTTTGAAGGTGTTTTTTACTCCTTTAACAATGCTCATAGTTTTTTCTGTGTCTCTATAGGACAAGTCCTTCCAGATGTATCAAAGAGGACTATGCAAAGGGTATTATTACCTTGTTCCCTTACCTGGCTGATCCTAAGAGCAGATTTGGCTATGTAAGTTCAAAACAGAAGTCCAACCTATTGGCTATGGTTTGAGTAGAACTGAAAATGTTTCTTTTTTGCATGCCCTGCATCTGTGCCACTTGTTTTTAACTTTCCAATTTTTAAACCTTTGTAGAGTTCATTGTTCCAGTGTTGGGCTACTGCAGCTTGAAGAATAAACATTGTGAATAGATTTTATTTATGTAATTCAAACAATGTGAACTAAAATCTGTAAATCACAGCTACTAGCATTCACGGCTGTCTTTGCTTTCACAGCTTTAAAAACATTTATCATTCACCTACTTTTAGGAGCATTATTACAATGCAGAAGATGGGAGTGGGTATCTGGCTTGGAGACTGAAGTTTGTCCAGAGAGAAGCTTCTAATGGACAAAAGAAGATCCCCAGACTGTCACAAACCCAAACAGGTATGTGTATTTATACTTGTACAAATCTCATCCTGCAACCAAACTGCACAGTAAGTTCCCAAGCCTTATTTATTAAATCCTAAGATGGAGTGTCACATTGATATAATTTTTTTAGGGGGACCAACAACTGACAGGGACTGTTTGAGAGAAGAAGACTGCCTTATGACACCTTGTGTTCTGAGGCCACTGCGCTGATGAAGCACACAGCTGATGAAGGAACTGTTATGAGGAAGATAAAACAGACTTTCAACTATCGCCAGAAGATGATTCATGACCCAGTGAAGTCATCTAGTATCTTTTTGGACTTCCCAAGATTCCTGGACATAGGAGGACTGGTATGTTTATCTTCACTTCAGCTTAACCTACTTTTAACAAAGTTTAAGTTAAGGTGGATGTGAGAAAGTTTAATAAAATGATTTTTAAAACCTTCACTTCATCTATTCTCCAGGTTGAGCAAGATTTTACATTGTTTGGGGAAGCCGTCGCTGCAAAGTTCCTGGAGAAGTGGCCCAGCATCAAAGTCACATTGCTTTCAGTTGGCATACAACTGAAATGTATGCCAACTGAAAGTCCAATGGTCAGTCAAGAGACTGACCATTGGACCAGGTAAAATGGTGCCTTTAAATGCACTGGACTGGGGCTGTGAGATAGCATAGACTCTTCAGTTACCAATCAACACCAAGGTTTTAAATGTTAAATGGGCCAAACACCATGGGAATATGTATCGTGAAGATTTAGTTGTTTGTAAAGAAATTTTTTTGTGAAATGCCAGTTTTCCATAAGATCTACAAGGTTGTTGTGAAAGATGAGAGGTTACTGTTTGTTACATTTGCATTGCAAACAGTGTGTCTGAGGATTTCAGTGCTTTTCAAGTTTTGTGTACAAGAGACGGACCTCATGTTATTCATGTAGAAGAGCTTTTCTGTTCCAGAGCTTTTGATTTACAGGTGTCATACAGTCATGAAGATGGAAATGTTTATATTGTTCCATACTCTTTCTTGTGAACAATAAAATGGCTGTTCAAATACTGATTTCTGGTCTATGCATTGTATTACAAACTCAGCTGTGTATATTAGCTGTAAAACAATTGCTTGGTGAATGAAATAAAGTTAAAGTTGGTTCTATTTTAGAATTTTATTTAATGTTTAACTGCACAATATGGAATAAAATTCAATTAAATTGGGAGTAAAATTTTATACTATTAAGAGCACAATTTTCACTATATGGAATAAAATGTATTCTATTTTGTGTAAAATTCCTTTTTAGTCAGACTAAAAGTTATCTCTACTTAGAATAGAATGCAATTCTATTTAGAGTAAATCATATTCCACTTGGAGTTAAAATACGGTGGAGTAGTTTTTATTTTAAACAACTTAGAGTAAATTCTCTTGGCAGTGATTAAAATTTTTGCACTAAATTGAGTTGATTTTACTCTGTAATTTCAACTCTTCCATGAGAGTAAATTTTACTCTATTTAGAGTGGGACCAAATGTTGTCTTTTTTAGAGTAAAATTTTTTTCAAATTGAGTAAATTTTACTCTGGAAATTTTACTGTGTGGTTAAATAACAGGCAAGAGAAGACATTTAAATTAAATAACTACAGTGCTGCTCAGAGGTTTGAGGAAAAGTCAAGCTACCATGGAAGTCTGCTTTCACTCAACTTAACAGAAAAAGAACTATTTGCTGTACAGATAAAGATGGCAAAGGGTTAATAATAGACCATTCTCATTAGGGATCAGACTGGAATCAATGGTTGCAATGACTAGTGATGAAGAGCCTGATTCTGCTCTGTTTCCATTGGATATGACGTCAATCCAGCTGCCAGCACACAACACACATAACACACACATACTTGGAAAAGAATGTGCAGAGAATGAGACCCCAGCCAATATCAAATCAGTATGAAACCTCAACTTGCTTTGGTTGATTTTTACTCTCTCCAGTTAGTTTGTTGACATTTAACAAATATATTGGGAGATAAAACATTTTAAAAAAGCAATTTTCAACAAAAAATGTAAATAGAAAAAGCAGAAAAGGCAAAGAAGTGTTTCATTTGCCTTTTTAAAAGTTTTTTGAGGCCTAATATAACCATTCAGTGATTTGGAACAATGTCCAGTTCCAACCCTTCACTGTCAGACCCTTCCTCCCCAGAAACACCTATGCCCATGTCAGCTCTCTTTTCAGTAAATAAAGAGGAAGATTACAAACAATGGACTTTGAATTATGGAAGCGTCAGAAAGCCATTTAATCATTACTAATTCCTTCCCCTCCCGCCCCATCCCTCTCACCTTGCCTTTTATGTGTCAAATACCACTCACCATCTCTGGAAAGAACCAAACATTTAATGAAACCTCCCTGGTCACATTACCCCTGTCTCCCTGCTGTCAATCACATGAAAGAAACCTTCTCCTACGCCTATAAATGTTGAAAAAGTACACACAAATCACCTGGTACACACACACACAAAACTGCATTTACACACAGATCCGGTTATGACTGCACAACTATTTTTGAGACTCATTTCACGCTTCAGGGAAGCTCCCAGATTTGTGTGTAGATGATGCTAGCACATGATAGTAAAAGCTAGACATCTGAGTTTTGCTCTGAGTCTAGTGTTTTTATCCTCTGACGTTTCTCATTGTGCTTGTACCGAAGTGGCAAATACGTTAATTCGGTGGAAAACTGTATATCTCAGCACTTCCTTATAATATCCTAAAATTATTTATAGACATATTGTGCATTCTTGAGCAGTACTGGCGACTAGGTGGTCTGAAAAAGGACCACTGGGTGGCGGAATGGTTCGCTGACCGGAAAAATAGCCAGGTAAACCCAGAAGCAAGACGGAGCGTCCCGGTGGTCTGTCCTCTGAAGTAAGTACAAGCTAAACCTGCAGGCTTTGCTCTCCGATTATAATATTATATATTATAATAATTATAACTGATTTCAGATTACGTTTGATATGTCTGGTATTTTGATACTCTGCCCTCCTCATATGTTTCTGTTAGCGGGAGCTAATGTTTATGTCAGCTATGCTACTTTAGCTCTTCGCAGCTAAACGTGGATTTTTACTGCCACACTCAACACAGTTTGAATCTTTAATCCATAAAAATGATCTCTGGGTGATTCTTATAGTATCTGTTTTGCCCAAAAGGTTCCAATCACATTTCTAAGTCATGTTGCTGACTGATATTTGTAGTTTGTGAGATATTCTGATTTGCCTTTTACTTTATTCACTAAGTGAATATAATTAAGTGAAATAAACTGCCTTTCGATTCTAATTTATTGAATTTCTATGTGTATAAATAATATTTTATATTTATCTCTACGCAGGATGAAACTGCTGACTGATGGATCGGGTTCTGGTGTTATTTCACTTTCTGGACGATCAGGATCTTTCAGATCTCATCTACCTTCTGATCCGATGGAGCTGCTGCAGGAACACACTGATATAATACATTGTATTATATCAGAAACAAGCTCAGGGCTCCCATTAGTCATTATCGTGAGTTAAAATTTTCACGAAAGTAAAATGTTCGTTTTTGTGGCGCATCTGTATCTTATTTTGAAGGGATATGTAAACGTTACCATAGCGACCAGAGTCAGAGAGCGTTTTGGTAGTGGTCGAGAGGAGATGAGTAGAGCTTGTGAGTCTTAAGTCTGGTTTAGAAGGCAAGATTTAAGAATTGTCGGCTGATTCTCCAAACCTCTGTGATCGATGTCTGGTGTCCTGTAACATTTAGATACGTCCTGGCCCAACACACTTGAATTAAATGGTTGCTTAGGACAGTCAAGTTCTCCAGAGTCGTGCTAATGACCTCTGACCTCATGATTTGACTGAGGTGCATTAAAAAAGAGACATCTAAAGGTTGGAGGACACCGACCCTTATAACTGGAGTTAAAGCCCTGGTGTACAATTTTCACTCAATTGTAATCACATTAACTTGCATACAGTGGAAACTTTACCTATGTTGAGGTAGATGAGTATTCATAGTGTCTTTACTTTAAAATCTTTTTGGTTTACATTTGTTGAAAGTAAATTACAAACATTTAGCCATAGTTTGACCACTGCTTTATGACAGAAAAAAAGTTTGATGTCACAAATATATAATTTTAATAGAGGCATCATTTGATTTATACAGTAGAAAGATGACGAAAGCGTTTCCTGAATTAACTTTAATGTTCATTTCACTGCACACAAATAACAAATGGAATATTTAAGAATGCAACAAAACCTTTGAATTTTTAACAGAATAGGTTCAGATTAACATGGGTGGTTTCACAGCTACTTAAAGTTAACAATGAAATGTCTTAAAACTTACATGGATGTTGTGATAGAAAATTTCGTTTGTAGTCTAATTTCATTTTTGATGGAACTGATGATACTTTTTACCATTTATTTACTGATTATATCTGCTGTGTTTTTTTGTATTTCTTTAAGATGTGTTTTTCCATTAAATAAATTTCCAGGTAATGTTTAGATGTTTCCACAGTTGTGATAGCAGAAGAGATCTGAAGACATCTTGGGTAAAATGCTTGATCTGGTGATTGTCTTAAAGGACTGACTTGTGGAATGTAGTTTGTACCCTTATTTGACCTGAACCCATGACTGACAAAGAAGAATTAGAAGTTTCTCCTGAAATCCTTATCAGTTCTCTTTCCTGCCATAAAATCATCCCCTCCAAGAGGTGAAGGACAGTTCATGAGGTGGGGGTCAGGATTGTTGCTCTGTGGTCCATCTGGTAGAAGAGATAAGATGAGACTTTGTCTTGCTGTGACTATATAACGGTGTGAAGTGTGTTGTTCAGGGCTCTTCTCTTGACTGCGCTCAGTGACAAGGGTCTTCGAATGCTTTTGCCTTCGAATAAAGAAACTTAAAGACAAAGATTAATCTTTCTCTACTTATTGAAAGATTCTCATTCCTACATAAAATTTCTATAACAATGTTCAAATATTTACTATAATCAATTAACAAAAGAAAACACTTCTTATTTGAAGCTGTGTATTCAAATAAGACCAAGGCCAGCCTGCACAGATTGAGGAGACACCATAACATCTACCAACAGAGCAGGTTAACTACTGTAGTTTGAAAGGCGTCTTGGTTCAGTTGACGGCTCAGTTTGAAGTTTCAGGTTTTGGTGTTGAACCTCCTAGAATCTCAGCTGCTGCAGATTGTATGAAGATGCAGAGAAAAGTACAAATAAACAGTGTTATGTTGATTTTACTGCACAGCTGATGCACCGACAAACCTGACTGTGACAGAACATTACTGAACCTGAAAATTACTTGAATGATCACAATATATGTAAAAAATTTTCTTTTTATGTTGATCAAATGTTTTACATTCAATGTTTTTCTGTGGAGGCTATTTTTGCAGTGGTGCTTTAAATAAATGCATAAAATATTTATTTTCTTATGCATGTCTTTATTAGCTCTCAATTGTGTCATAATATCAATCGAGAAATAAATTTACTGCTTGTGAAAATCTAAACCATCTGAATACATTTTACCATCTACATTAATCAACTTGAAATGAAGACGAACAGGAACAGC